CCCTCCCATTAATTTCGGGGGGTTCATCTAGGCTGAGTGTAAGTGCTTCAATAGCTTTATGAACTGGGTTGTTAGTATGCATTGATACCACATCGAAACTAACCAAAAGATCCTCCTCTTGAATACTCTGTTGATCTATTAATCTAGCAAATTCATATGAATTCTTCACTGAATATTTCCTATTCTCACCTAATTTCCTTAGTTGTCTTCATAAGAAACGTGAGATCCTATGCATCACAATACCCTTGTTATTAACAATCAATCTTAAAGGAACTCCTTCCTTGTTTATTTTTGTAAGGCCGTGAGCCGAAGGTGCCATTGTATCCCTTTGAAGAAGTAAATTCACTTTCCATTTCTTAATTTCTCCTTTGCCTAAACAAAAGTTAAACGATTCAATTAATCTTGTCTTCAGACTCTCTGTGGGATCATTAACAAAAGTAGGCATGTTTCTAAGTCATTTAAATGAACCATCAATTTTTCTATATAACTTAACCTATCCATGATGCCTATTGCACCATCTTTATCTGCATTCAAAATAAACAGATCATTTTGGTGCAAATATCTAAAAATCTTATTCAAGTCATAAAATTTATTTGAAATATTTACCTGGTCAAAATAAGGAATCACTTCTCTTTCTTTACTATTCTTAGCCTTTTCTGGCAGATTGTCTATTAAGTGAATTAATTCCACAATTATCTCCATATAATGATTTTGCCCATTTGGAAAGGCGAAGTTTAAATCCCATTGCAAGAGTCTCTTAACGTTATCATCTATAGGTATAGTGGATAAATTAACGACTTGACTTTTGCTATGGCAAAGAGCACTAATTTTAATTACATTATTTCTATTTCGACTATTCTTTGAGCTGATTTTAATAAATAAATTCCTTTATTTTTATCATATCGGTATCTGTGAATCCTATCCGTTCTTTCTGCCAGACTGTCCGCCATATTCATAAATTTAAGAAAGACTCCTCGCGAATATTGCCGAGAAAGGAATTGTATAGTCTTTGTTTTGGTGCTAACCAGGACATGTAATTTTTATATACTTTCTTTTAGTCTGGTCTTAACCAAACCCCTTGATACATGTCCCAGTTTCCCAAAATTAGTACATAATGTAATATCTAGATGTTGTTTTCTTGGTCTGTGTCCAGCTTTACTTATTTTCACTATAAGGAAACTGGAACAGGCATCAAGTGGTTTGGTTAAGACCAGACTAAAAGAATGTATAGACAAATTACATGACCTGGTTAGAACCAAAACAAGGACTAGACAATCCCTTTTTCTGCTAATTACTCAAAGAGTCTTTATCATATTACAGAATATGGCGGACAGTCTGGCGGAAAGGATTGATAAAATTAACAGATAACGATATTTAGGCATTGAAATCAGCACAAGGAATCGTCGAAACAATAAGATTGTAGTTAAATTTGGTGCTGTTGATGAGCTTTTTGTCTCAATGTGGGAGGAAAAGAATTAATTTAAAAGTACGGAAAAATTTTATTATTAATAAAAGAAAAGTTATTACTTGTTGAGTAGCCTCCCGTTTGCAGGCAGCTCAACCCCCTCTCTATTAATTAAGTATAAGTATAATGAGATGTATTCACCCTATTTCGTCTAAGGGAGGGAAAATTCTACTACCAGTCCTTCATCACCTTAGACGAAATAGGGTGAATACATCTCATTACACTGATTGGAAAATTCTACTACCAGTCCTTCATCGCCTTACACGAAATAGGGTGAATACATCTCATTACACTGGATAAAATTCTACTACCAGTCCTTCATCACCTTACACGAAATAGGGTGAATACATCTCATTACACTGATTTACCTACTACCAGTCCTTCATCACCTTACACG